AAGCAGAAAGTCGACAGAGAAGCTGATGAAATGGCCGCTTCAGCTGATATTTCCACCTCAGGTCAGAGATCGTTTTATAAAACTTTCCCTCAAACGTTATTCTGTATCGATTATAATCTGGAAACTCTTATTTTAGTGAATAAAAATGTTAAATTCAGAGACTTTGACTTTAAACAGAACCTGAATGTCAAACAAAATGGCTCCCTCTCAGGGCCTTACGCAGGGCCCAAAACATACTGAGGTCAAAAGCCCATCACTTCTAGGTGGGTTCAGCGTTTTCACCCGAGAAAATGTTTTTGATTACATTAATTAAAGTTGGCAATTTTCAGAGTATTAAGGGGCAAAAGCAAAATCTTTATGACTTTTGAATAGTCAGCGTTTCTCTGTTTATTTTTACCTGCCAGACATTACAGGCATTTTAAACTATAAACTTGATTTTTATATCATCTTTCATTTGAAGCTATCTATCTAAGTGGTTAGAAACCTGTAACAAAATGAAAGTGTAGTATGATTAAAATGAGTTGCTTCATATTTACTTCAGTGTTTAAAATAGACACCCAGACCATGTTACATTATTATGTTGATAATCAGGCCAGGTGATAGCCTTGGCTAGGCCCAGGGCAAAATCTAAAGAATTCATGAGTGGGGCCCCGTCAATTGATATCAGCGATTCACATATTTAAGTAACCTTTGCTGGAAGCAACAGAAACATATTTATTAGTTAATTAAATAACTGAAAAATATAGAATTATTTATTCAGTAAGGATAAAAAACAATATTTATTTATTTAATGCATGCACCCCCAAGTAACATTTAAATATTTACATTTACAAATAGAGATCTTTCCAGTTTTACATTTTTGAAATATGCGGCACCTTTGGCTTTCCATGCCTGCTAATCCAACCTCACCCTCCCTCCCCCTCTATCCTGGGCTGGGGACAACTGGCCCGGTTGTACTGCGCTGTGCAACCAGGCCAGTGCCTTATCTGTTCACTCTTGTTATGGAAAGCCAGCTTTTTAACATATTTCTATTGTTATGTTACACAATGCTTCATGTAACATGCGATAAACATTTGACTTTAAAACACAAACAGTTAATGTGCAGTATCTTCCTTTTCTAGTACCTGCTCTCCCTCCATCTCTCTCTCCTCACTGCTGCTCCTGTTGCTTGGCCCAAAGAGGAGCTCGGTGTGACTTAGCCTTTTCGCCCTATCCTGTGTGAAGAATATCAACAGAGTCAAATACTAAACTGATAGAAACAAAAACAATACACCATTTCAACATCATATTTCAAGTTTGTCATTTCAATACATTAACATGAAATGAAATTAGTTTCCCTCGTCAAAGTATGAAATAGTAAAAACAGCTATAAATAAATTGAAGTATGAATATTACATAAACAAGATAAAATATGCACATTAATATAAAATAAATAAATAAATATCAGAGTCTACAACATTTCAACAGTTGTCGATAAAATTGAGACATTCTGAGTTATTGTGACTCTTGAAGTAAGGGCAAGAGAAGAAAATCATTTTGGGTTTTGTTTTAAAAATGAACCGGATGTTTTATTTTTTTTTTTCTGTGCACAACTTCTTGTCCAGCATGATTTTCTCTGTGCTAACTTATTCTGTTGAGCTCCCATCCAGCAGAAATATAAAAAAAAATTCAACATCCAATACTGAGAAACCAACACTGAATAAAGATTCCCTTTTCAGTTAAAAGACATTGCTAACACATCAGTTGCATTTAGTTATATAAAAAAAAATGTATATAACTGCTGAGAATTGATTGACAACTGGTACAGACAGAGTTAAATAAACTTTAGTTCGATGTTCCCTTGCTGTCGGAGCAGCTCACTTAGCTAAAATATTTCCTAAAGGAAATTCATGTTTTCCTCACAGTCATCTACAACCACACTTCGACATTAGTAGCTTGGTATGCTCCTCTTCAAGTGACTGCTGTGACTGACGGACTCACTAAAGGCATCTGTAGTCTGTATGAGGCAGTTGCTATAGTAACGGTGCATTTTGATTGTACACAGGACATATGCCCAAACCCTCAATTAACTTTTTTTATTAGATAGTTGCGGTATTCATGGATCTTCAAATATAAAACACCTCACATTTTAGTGGGAGACCTAGATCATTGTCCTATACTCAGTTTCAGTGTAATATATTTTTTAAATTTTATATATCACAATTTAGGCAAAATGTAAATAAAAAGAAATACATGGGACATGACTTTGCTGTCCTCAATGTAATTATGGTCCTGCTCCCTCTGCTATTCTAGATTTTCTTATGATATTACCTTTTTCATTTAAGTAAACATCCATAAGATCCCGATGTTTTAGTTTTAGGAAACATCCTTTGCCTCTATGGCCCGGTCCACGCATACAGCTTCTGGCTGTAGGGACATGGAACCTCACCTCGCTGGTGGGGAAGGAGCCTGAGCTTGTGCGGGAGGTTGAGAGGTAGTGGCTGGATATAGTCGGGCTCATCTCTACGCACAGCTTGGGTTCCAGATCCCATCTCCTGGACGCTTCACTTCTCTGGCATTCCCCCTGGGGAGAGGTGGTGAGCTGGGGTGGCCTTTATCATTGCCCCCCATCTCAGCCATCATGTGTTGGAGTTCATCCCTGTGAACAAGAGGGTTGTGTCTACGCCTTCGGCCTGGGGACAGGTCTCTCACAACTGTCTCAGCCTATGGGCCCAACATCAGTGCAGATTACTCTGCCTTCTTGGAGTGCTCGGGAAGGGTACTAGATAATGCTCCAACTGGGGACTCCATTGTTCTACTGGGGGACTTCAACACCCTTGTGGGCAATGACAGTAACAACTGGACAAGGGTGATCGGTGGGTACAGCCTCCACGATCTGAACCCAAGCGGTTTTCTGTTATTGGACTTATGTGTTAATCACAGTTTGTCCATAACGAACACCATGTTGAAGCAAAAGGGCATCCATATATGCACATGGCACCAGGACACTCTAGGCCGGAGGTCGATGATTGACTTTATAGTTGTGTTGTCTGATCTCTGGTCGCGTGTCTCAGACACTAGGGTGAAGAGAGGGGCTGAGCTTTCAACCGATCACCTGATTGTGAGCTGGATCTCCTGGCAGTGGAGGAAGCTGGTCAGACTTGGCAGGCCTAAGTGTGTTGTGAGTGTCTGTTGGGAACATCTGGTGGATACCTCTGTTAGTGCGGTCTTCAACTTCCACCTCTGGACAAGTTTCTCTCAGATCCCGAGGGCGGTTGGAGACATGGAGTCAGAGTTGTCCAAGTTCTCCTCCTCCATTGTCGATGCAGCCATTCATAGCTGTGGCCGTAAGGTCACTGGTGCCTGTTGCGGCAGCAATCTCCAAACCCGGTGGTGGTGCCCGAAAGTAAGGGATGCCATCAAGCTAAAGAAGAAAGCCTGTCTGACCTTTTTATCTAGTAGGACTCCAGAGTCAGCTGAGAGGTACCGGCAGGCCAAGTGTGTTGCGGCTCGTGAGATCACAGAGACAAAAACTCGGGTCTGGGAGGACGATTACAAAGTATTTTTTCTGGTAGGTTAATTAAAGTAGATATTTGTAAACTGTGTGATAAAATAAAGCTTTCCCTCTCTTAACAGCACTGAGCCGCCCTGCTACAGAACTGAGGATTGTGTTGATAGGAGGAAGATACAGCAACCCTTCCAGTGGTAAAAGCTCAGCTGGAAACATCATCCTGGGTCACAATGTTTTTCACACCAGCAGAAGAACAGCTCAGAGTGAAGCGAGGCAGCAGGAAGTACTCGGCAGACGACTCACAGTGGTTGATACTCCAGGATGGTGGTGGTGTGATCCAAGAGAAGAAACCCCAAAACTGGATCAGATAGAAATCCAGAATAGTGTCCATCTGTGTCCCCCAGGACCTCATGTCTTTCTTCTGGTCATTCCTGTTGGTTCACATTTATCTAATCTTGTCAAAATATCTCTAGAGGAACACCTGGAACTTTTCCATGCAGATGTTTTCAGTCACACCATCGTGCTGTTCACTGCAGTCGATTCATGTAGTGATGAAACCATTGAATCTAAAATCAGAAGAAGTCAAGCCCTGCAGTGGATCCTTCAACAATGTGGAAACAGAAAACATGTTCTCAACATCAGCAACAGAGAAGATAGAGATCAAGTCAAGATGCTTCTAGAGAAAATTGAGGCGATGATTGAACAGAACAGGGGCAGACACTGTTCTGTTGATAAATCTGATGGAAATGCTCTGAGAGAGAGACTGAAAGATTTGGTTAAAAAAGCCTCAAAAAGGTTTGATGAAGTTCAGAAACAAAGAAGAAACATGAAGCTGCAGATTGAAGGTAATTCTACTTTCTTTCTTTTTGTCAGGAAAAAGATTTTAGTGTTTTGGCAGACGTCAAGCTCAGAACAGAAGGATCCAGTATTCAAAGCAGACAACAGATTTCTAATAACATTTATTAAAAACTGAATCCAAGTAGACAGAGTCTAATGACAGAAACTTCTTGCGGTGGAGACAGCAGGTTAGTGACCACTTCTTTCTGGAAGTGGATGATAACGAACGTGTAAGTCACTAACTTGATCTTAAAGCTCAGTCCGAACCTAGAGGGTGAGGATGGTTCCAGCCAGCCAGCTGGCAACGTGGCATGGCGGTCAGGGCACAGAGATTCCCAGACACTGATGGTTGGAGGATAGGCAGAAGATCAGAATAGACCAGACAAACATAGGCAGAGGGCGTAGCCTAAGCCGATGTTGGTGATGTGCTCGGTTGATTCTCATTGACTCTCCCTTCATTGAGGTGCCAATGGAGAAGAATCCAGGATGGAATTGGGTCACATTTTAAGGTACGGTACACAAACAGGAAGAGATGCAGATTATTTCAGGATGAGGTAATCAGGACACAGAAATCCAAGAATAAGTCTCACCAATGGATTGAAATAATCTGTCTCTGAATGTGGCAATAAGAATAATTATGTTGATATGTAGATAAATATAGATAAATAGCTTTGTTATAATTCATGCAGGGAGTATTACAGATTTTAAGGACACTGCAATGTAAGTAGATCAGGAAAGGAAAAACAGAAAAAAAGGAGAAAAGATGAAAGAAAGAGGAGACAAAAGGGAGATAAGGATAAAACATTTTCAGTCCACTTCATCACCTGCAAAGAGATATAGCACCCAGCCGACCGCCGGGGGGGACCCAAAGCTTCAGATGCCTAAAGGGACCCAAAGACCAAAGGCACCTAAGAGGGGCCAACCCAGGAAATCCAACTCCCCACCAATGTCGTCATTTTGACTGTGCTGAGATTTTAAAAGGAGAGAACTTTATTTATATTAATGATATGTTGCCCATGTTAACTGCATTTTCCTGTTTCCTATTTCCCTCATTTTCACATAGTTTTTTTTTTAATATGGTTAATTTGACCTCGATCTCCCACAGCTGTCATTTTGATGGCTCTATTAGTTGCATTGATTGACGCTCGGAACCATTGCCTTGCAACAAACATTCTAGCTAGAACTTTTTGGCTAATACAGAAAAATTGCTTTCCAAAGAAATATAACAGAAGTTCTAGAGCGTTCTCTAGAAATGCTCCAAAAATATTGATGATAGCGATTCGGGTGGAGACAGAGAGACCGATGAGGAAGACTGGGTAGGAAGTGGCTCAGATTCTGACTGTGACTCCGAGGATGATCACCCACCCCAGGCAAAATGCAGACGTATCAGTGACCATTCAGGCAAAAGTGAAACTTTTGTTCAAGGTTTGGATAGCACTGCCCACACCTCATCCAGTACACTCAGCGGCCTAAAATCCAAACCAGAGCCCGTGGTCTACTATAATTACATCCAGGTTGGCATGGATGTGTTAGATCGGTACATTAAAAAGTATTATGAGTAGTATGAAAAAGCTCCAATACAAAGGTGGCTTGTGGCTGTATTTTAAGATCTCCTGGACGTAGCGGTTATTAACTAATTATTTATTAATTAATTTTGTTCAGGAGCTGTTTGAAACGTCACCGTCTCACGCAGAAATGTTATCATGCCAACCACATACACTCCAGAGAGCTGTAAGTTACCAACCCCTCCGCCACAGAAGAGTTAGCTTTGGCGAGGTAAAGGAAACAGTGCCAGATGCATTAACACTGCACAAAAAAACGCTCATATGATGTTTGTCATAAATGTTAAAAGGTGATGTGTGGGAAATGTTTTGCGGGTAATCAATCACTTTTGATAAATAATATTGCAATTTCAAACTTTGAACCTGTGTAGTTAAACAGTCTTTATACTAAATAATAATAGCATATAATACTACTTTAAAAATATACATATTAGACCTGTTTTAAGGTCTACATATCCACTATGGGTTTATATAGGAAATAAGAAGCATTTCAGTTGATGACATCATCACTACTTTTGCATTCCATTGGTTAAAATATCATCCGTTAAATTGTTTGCCACTGGAAGTTCTAGTAGTATCAGAATTTTGGGACTCGAAGCTAATGCGGATGGATCAGATAAGTGGATAATAAGAACTGGCCAGAACAAAGCAGGTGTGTGAAATGTGTAATCAGACCAGGCATCAGTGCCAAGTTTATGACTGAACCCCCAAACACAATAAGGCTAGAATAAGTCTCACCAATGGCTCGAAATGATCGGGCACTGATGACTGGTATGAAGGCTGTTAAATAAAGACTAATGCAAGGGGATCAGATAAGCGGTAATGAGAACTGGACGAAACAAAGCAGGTGAATGAAATGAGTAATCAGACCAAGCATCAGCCAAGATCGTGACAGACATCTCTGAGAACTCAACATACAAAACACATTATTGATCAGCTTTGGGATCATGTTTACTTTTGTTGTTGGTAAAACAATTAAGACACAGGTGTCATTTTAAAACCATCTAAATGCAATGATTTACATAGTTCATTTACTTACTTACCAATAAACTAACACCTGTTTTCATTGACATATGTTATATTTTTTCTCCACATTATCAACCCTACTCTAAACAGACCTGAGCTGCAAACTTAAAAATAAATAATTTGCTTTTTTGATGATTTAGGTGGAAAGGTTCCTCCAAACCATTTGAGAATATTGATGATTGGTGGATCTTGTGCTGGAAAGAGCTCAGCAGGAAACATCATTCTAGGAAAAAATTCATTTGATGTTACTGAAAGTGTTAGAAGAACAACAACACACAGTGAAATAAGCCACAGTGTGGTTGAAGGAAGGCGGCTCACAGTGGTGGATTCTCCTGGATGGTTCTGCATCCACACCCTTCAGGACACCAGTGAGATGGACAAACTGGAAATAGAGAACAGTGGAAATCTCTGTCCTCCAGGACCACATGCTGTGCTGCTGGTTATTCCTCTGATAATCAAGATTGATGCATCATATCTGAGATCTGTCCAGGATCACATGAGTCTGTTTAGAGAAGAAATCTGGAAACACACACTGGTTCTGTTTACCGATGGTGACTGGTTAGGAGTGAAGACTGTGGAGGAGCATATAGAGAGTGAGGGAGGTCTGCAGTGGATAGTGAACAAGTGTGGGAACAGATATCATGTTCTGAACAACAAGGACCACAGTGATAAGACTCAGGTAAAGGAGCTCATTGAGAAGATTGAAGAGATGTGGGCAGGAAATGAAGATCCTCATTATGAAGTGGACCTGGACCGAGCAGCACAGATAGAAGCCAAGATGGAGGCTGCAGACAAGAAAGCCAGAAGGTTGAAGGAGATCAATGAGACACAGTCAAGAGTCCTGAAAGAGGTTTATGAAGGTAAACAAGTTTGGTAAAAGTTT